GTTTTTTTTTTTTTTTGCTTTTTGTGGTTCTGGGGGTTTCATATCTGGTTCTACGGGTTTGAACCGAACCTGCAACGCTGAGCCCGATAAGGAGCAGCAGCCCTTGGTGATGGTCTTGCTGGACGAGGAGGACACTTGACTGCCATATCAAGTGTAGGGTTTAGGGTTTCCTTGCTTCAGCGGAGACCCGGGGTTGCATCCTCTGGCGCTGATGGCTAAGGAAGCTTGAAGATACGGCTCCTGACAGCAGGCGAACACAAAAGAAGACCGGTCTCACTTGCAATGCCACGCCTCGGCCAAGCCTGCAAAGGGTTTACAGGTTTAGGGCTCAGGGGTTTGGGTTCAGAGCTAATGCCCATGTCTATCCAATACTGCAACAGTCTGGAAGGCGTCATCCCCACTGCTGAAACTGCAGCGGTGCGCAAAGCGCATGCTTCTGTTTCTGACGTCCCCCTACCAATGTTATGATTCTAGCCTTTGCACCACCGACCCCGCGACCGGCAAAGCGTTTGCTGCCATCTCGCAGACCTTGCCCGAATCGATTATTTGCGTATCATGGATTGCATGACGTAGCAAGCTATCACATCTGGTACATACATTGAGAAGCGAGTGCTAGAATTCGGATTGAGGGTAGCCGAACTTGCAGGATGTTGGACAAGTTCTGGGGAGTTGGATCCGAATTGTTACGTTTAGGTTCACGAGCTCTTGGCAAGTGTCTGCGAGACCGATGTCGCTTCCTGCAGATCCGAGTACAATGTTGCTATGTTTCTGCAAGTATGAAAACTTCCGAATGCACTCTCAGCACAAAGTGCGCTCGCTTGGGACCCGGCAAGCAGCTCCGTGCATTATCCCAAGCGCCAAGCGTCTGCTGTGATGTGGATGAACCCACGATCCACTTAAGGGCCCCGGGGATCTTAGTGTGGATGTTCTAGTTGGAGCCATGTACTGCTGTCTTAGGCATGTGAGTTTTGGCCTATCCTGGGCCTAAACCCTATAAACCCTAAACCCTAAACCGTAAACCCTATAAACCCTAAACCCTATAAACCCTAAACCCTAAACCCTAAACCCTGCTAAGTCCATTTCGGGGCCCTTAAATAAGGAGGTGGAAACCGTGTTGAGCCGGCGGGAGGTTTAAACCCCGCCGCCTCGACGTACATTCGCTTTCTGGCTGTACAGACCAGAGTGGAAAGAAAAGCCTCGCGGGTTTAGGGTTTAGTTTAGGGTTTAGGCCAAAGCTTTTTTGATTTGTGCTGCGATTTCGGTGTTACTAGCAATGCTATTGCGATTCTTGGTGTCAGCCTCAATGTACCGTTGCTAGCTTCGTCGCTGTCGTAGCAGCAGCTTTCCTTCGTATCATGCGTAATTCAAGCCCTGCATCCAAAACCCCGAAAAAGCCGAGGTACGGTACCTAACATAGCCACGAAACTCGAAAGCCCTAAGCTTTCAACCCAAAGTAAACCCCACACCCTACAGCTCAGCCCGAAACTTTGAACCCTAAAGCAGAGAAGACCTAACTGGTAGGGGCCGGGGCTTTTGTAGCGGCGCCCGCGAAGTTCGAAGATCTGCGGAGATATGAGGACCTGCATTCAGGATTTAGGGTTTAGGGTTTAGGGTCTAGGGGTTTAGGGTTTAGGGGCTGACTTGGGGACAGGACTGTTGCATGGGATGCCATCACAGTTCTAAACTGAGGGTTCAGGCTTTAAAACTTATGGTTCGGGTTTAGGATTTAGGTTTCGGGATCGTACTCAGTTCAAGTCGTCGCCTCGCAGGCGCATGAATTTCGGCTCTTCAGCTTTCTCCGCACACGCGACACTCTAAAGGCCTGAAGCCGATCATGTATCCATCATTCCCCGAACACACCGAGAACTCTTCTTGATCACCCAAAAACCCTAAGCCTCAGGGTCTAAATCTCTAAAGCCCGCAAGCCCTAAACCCTAAACTCTAAGCCCTAAAGGCCGTATGCCTAAACCCGAAAATCCTAACCTTCATATCAGCCCCGTATTCCTGGACTGTACCTCGCCTTGCCTCTGCAAGTCCGTAGACCCTTAGGTATCTGGTATACATACATACATACATACATACATACATATATATGCATGTACAAATGTGTGTATATATATATTTATATACATATATATACATATATAAATATACATATATATATATATCTACATCTACCTACCTATCTATTTACCTATCGGTCTGTCTATCTGTCTATCTATCTATCTATCCATCTATCTAGCTATCTAGCTATGTATCTATCTAGCTAGCTATCTAGCTATCTAGCTATCTAGCAATCTGTCTTTTTATCCATCTATCTATCTCGACTTAGCGTCAGAAATATGTGCCATAGATATAGATGCAATTCTAATTTAGGGAAATTTAGGGCCTCTCAAATTCTCAAGATTCGACACGGTTTGTGACCCCACATGCACGACAGATGCTCTTGCGATGGTGCTGCCTGCGGCGGAGGGTGGGAGCAATAGAACGGATGTGTCGTGATAAGAAATCCTGGGAACCCTAGACTTTCATCAAGGGCGCAGAAGGGCGGGTGCCTATATTCAGGGCAGCGTAGGATGGGCATGGACAGGCTCCCAGGGCTTTTCCATTCGTCCACCCTCGTAAAGGCCGCTTGGTTAGAGCTTGGGGTTTAGAAACCCCAAACCCTAAACCCTAAACCCTATACGCTAAACCCTAAAAGTCTGTCTGTCTGTCTTTAGGGTTTGGGCTCTCGGCTTTGGGTTCCCGGTCCAGAGTCGGCTTTCCGGATGGCCTAAAGAAGCTTTGACACTTCGCAATGCAAGTCAACACAAAACTTTAGAATCAATCCCCGGAGCCCTATACCCCACTGGGCTCTCATAGCCCAGATGCATAGTAGAAAACTCCTCAAGCCCTAGCCGCAGAATAACACGGTTTGTCATGCAAGAGGCTGATGCTAAATTGACCAGGTGTCGTCCTTCGCATTCTGATTCGTCTATTTCGATCTTGAAGGCCCGAACCTCCTAAGCCCAAGACCCTCAACCGTGAGTTCCACCACGACCCCCGGACATTGCAACATGAAGCCCAGGTCCTCGAACGGCACGGATCCCCACATACCCAAGCCCTAAGCCCAAAGCCTCAAAGGCCCCAAACCCTAAACCCTAAGCCCTAAACCCTAAACCCTAAACGCCAAACCTGCAAGCCTCCAAAATCCCAAAAGCCCGAAACTCTCAGGGCTATACAGCCTCTGGAAAACCGAGAGCCCTAACCCAGAGAGCCCAATATCCCTTAATTTAAGGAATTATACCTTAACTCATAATAATTCAAGGCCCCTAGAATTTAAGGTATGTTCCTTAATTAAGGGGTATTGGGCTCTCTGGGTAAAGCCCCACTTGCCATCCTAAGATGGGTCCGACAGGTGCTTGGGCTTGAGCTGAATTTGTTGCTGACATGCGGCAAACAAGGGTTGAAGAGTTTAAAGCTCAGGAGCCTAGAACTTTAGGCTTTAAGGCAAGGGTTTCAACATGCATGGCCTGCGTGAGTAGGAAAATCAAGAGCTACGTATCTCTCACTACCAAGGCACTTTTGTGCTATTCATTCGAAGAGATTCGAGACGCTCCTGCCTTCTCAGGGCCTCTTTCACAGGGCCCTGAACTTGGAGCCCGCCATGTCCGTCATGCTCGGGTCGCTCAAGCTCTGCCTCCTTGCGGCCCTGTGCCTGGGCGTGGGCTCAGAAACGCTGAGCGCGCGGGTGTGGCAGCCGTCGCGTCCGGACTTCCAGCTGCCCGAGAGCTTCGAGGGAAGCCTGAATCCTGGGTGGAGCTTTGAGGCACCATTTTTGTTGGATTCCCTTATGATGGTTCTATAGAGGTACCTTTTCATAAATGCTTTGGGGAGCTTTTGTGATAGAACTCAGGAACCTTGAGAGCAAGCTGAACTTCGGCATCGCTCTCGCTGGCGGCGGCATGCGGGGCGGGGCGCTGGGCCACGGCGTTCTCCGGACGCTTCGGGAAGCTAAGCTGCTGGAGAAGGCAAGGTACCTGAGTGTGACGTCGGGCTCCGTCTGGCTCGGTCTCCCCTTGTACTACCAGGCGATTGAGACAAAAACCCTACACCCTAAACCCTAAACCCTAAAGCCCTAAACCCTAAACCCTTGAACTACCAGGCGATTGACACGGTGGAGGAGTACTTGGGACAGACGCTGCGACCAGAGGACATGACGCCAGAGGCACTGATACAGAAGACCGGCAGCGGGCTCCGGCGTTTGAGGCACTTCCGAAACTACCCCAAGGGCCACCAAGGACTCCCTGGAGAGCAGCTGCAGACGGAGCTGTTGGAGGAGAACGAGACAAGCCTGGAGAGCATGTTTGGTTGTCCGGCGGACGAGGGCTGGTGCGCCTGCATGGTTGAGCGCTTCCAGCCCGGGTCCTTTCATGGCCTCTACTCCGTTCTCACTGCCTATGCCTTCCTGCATCCCTTCGAGCTTGCCGGATGGGGCTCAACTCACTGCCACGAGTCGCAGCTGGAGCGCGTCAGACCGAAATTCGGTAGTGGGAAGACCATCTACACCTCGAAGGATATGTCTAGGAAGTTGCCCTTTCTCCTGTCTCAGTCTGCCATCCTCGAGCCCTACACGGGCTTGACAAAGGAGGATCCTCTCGTGTTCTTTCCCTTAGAGCAGACGCCCCTCTATGCCGGGACCATCCCGGGCTACAACGCAACCGACGTCCACCGCAGCATCGGTGACGTGCTTGTAGAGCCCTTTGCCTGGGGATCACGGGCCCGGAGTCCATGGACGAACTTCAGCAACGGAGGCGAGCTCAGGTGCCTTGACCGCGTTCTTGAGGCTTCTTGTGCTGCCCTGAACCCCAAACCTGACACACAGCGAGACTCCCAAGCTTCCTTAAATTAGCGAACCTTCTTCCAGATTGGAATAATTGATAACTGTGGACCTTTCAGGTATCATAAAAGGGATGTTGAAGTCTCCGAAAAACCCCACCAAGGATGGATGTTTCTCGTAGCTTCCTCAATGTTGGGGACCTGGCTGCCTGGGCCGGCACCGCAACATCCTACATCGCGGACTTCCAGATCCGCACATGGGCCGACAAGCCCTTCGCATGAGCCAGAAGGGATTTTTGGTTTATAGTGAACCCTAAAACCCTAAGCATCCCTAAACCCTAAACCCTGTTTAGGGTGTATCGGGATTTTAGGGTTGAGGGTTTGGGCCTTACAGGGCTCTAGAGCTCACGGCCCCCTTTATAGCGCTTCAAGGTTCGGGGGGGGCTGTGGGGGCTGTGGGGCTCTGGGGCCCGAAGCCCAGATACATGCAGAATCCAAAACTGGATCCTTGTTGGATACAATTGTACATTTTTGTTATAATAGAACCCAACAAGGATTAGGGGTGATCATGTTTAAACTGGCCCCAACAGGGAGCCAGAAAAGGCATACTAACCGAAGGCACGCAGAGGGGCCTCCACCCCACTAGGGCCCGGAGTTTAGGGTCTAGGATTTAGGGTTTTGGAGTTTCGGGCTTGGTTTTGGTTAGGGTCTCTTCGGGTTAGGGCCTCAGGCTTCAGAGGCTGAGCACTGCAGGTCTCCTTGCTTGCTCTCTTGTGGCCCCTGTGTGACTTTCGTACGCAATGCTCTGCACCTTTATTGCTGCTTTGCCACGGGCCTGGGCCTTGCAAGCATGCTGGAACCCACCACAACCCCAAAGGCCAAAAGGCCGCAACTACTAAGCCAAGGCCCTACACTTGCAAAGCAAGAATCACGGGAGGCTTACTGCCACATGCCCTGCGCCCTGGGCTCGAAGCCCCCGGTACCCTCGAACCAACACCCCCTAAACCCTGAACGCCCGCTCAGGCCAAAGCTTCCAAAAGCGAGAAGCCCCTGAGCCCAAACCCTGAAGCCAAACTCTTAAGCGCCCTAGGAAGCCCAAGCCCTTGGTTCCAAGAGCCCTAAAGCAAAATGCCTTAAACCCCAAACTCTGAACCCTTGACACCCCGTGTAAACCCTATAGAACCCGTATACAAAAACCCTGAAAACAAGCCCTGCATCTGCTGAAGGATCCCAAAGTGCTTGGTGGCAGAGGGCGAGAAGTTGCTGCCCCATGCCAACTTCTGGTCACCGCTGGCCCCTTCGATGGAGGGGTGTAGTTTCGATTTGTTCTGTGTTCTTTACTTTTGGATCTTTTTCATCCGCTTTGGGGTCCGCAACAATTCACCCTGAACCGCTTTGGGATTTGGGTTTGGAGATTGTCGGGTTTGTGTTTGAGCGCAATAGGATGCATCGTCAAACCTGCCTGGGACTCACAACCCTAAACCCCTCAGCTCCACACCCTAAGCCCTAAACCCTAAATCCCTAAACCCCTAAACCCTAAACCCCTAAGCTCCAAACCNNAAACCCTAAATCCCAAAGCCGTAACTTAAATAAATCCCTAGACCTTAAGTTCAAGCCTCTCGGCCGTATCCTTAATTCGAAAACCCCTAAATGCCTCAGCACTACGCCATGTAATCGTAAATCCTAAGACCCTGAACCCTACACTTCAATCCCTAAACTCAAAACTTAAATGCCTCAATCAATGCGTTATAAAAACTTACAAAGCGCTGGTCAAACCCCCTGTAAAACTCCAATACAGCCCTGTAACACCCTTGTAAAGCCCTTCCGAGGCTCTTGTAAAGCCGTTACAACAACACTTGTAAAGCCATTCGAAGACCCAACCCAACCCAACCTCAACCCAAAACCTTAAACC